TATAGTAGTAGTTTTAGTAGTGTTTTTCATCATATTTTATGTATTTATGTCTGCTTTAGTTTAAATAATGTTCAACTCATATTTATTTCCAGAATTCTCGTACTGCTCATGTTTTTATGTCTTTTTCAGATATTTCGAGTGGAGCTGAGTTTTGGAAGCAGCTTGAATGTATAATTGGAGCTTAATGGAGCTAAAACACCTTAAGGAGATGGAAGATGGGTCATATATGCTTAAACTGAAGAGTTCACATCCGAAACGTGCGTTTTGAGTTTACACGATCGTGTTTTTCTTCATGCAATTGGGCTTTTGGTTGTGCTTCTTTTATGCAACTTTTACAGGCCAAAAGTAAAGTTTCAAGACTCCGCAGTACAAACACGGTCGTGTTTCCCATGAAACACGACTGTGTTTTGAGTTTTATGTCCGATATAGCAACATATTTCATTAAATAGAGAATTCGGGACTTCGAAGAAAAAAACACTATCAAAATGATCTTGTTTTTTCCTAAAAACATGATCGTGTTTTTCACTTTTTTGTGTTTTTTATTGCTGGCTTGTATATAAATACATCCTATCTAATCAGTTTAAACTCTAGAAATTAACAGACGACGAAAACCCTTTTTAGACGATTTTTAAGGTGATTTCTCTCCATTTTCATCAATTTCTGAACATCTGAAGGTTGTGGATCATCTCAATCAGTTAGATTAGTAAGAATTAGTAGTTTAATCTTTTTTTTCATTGGTTTTGATCGGAATTTAGCCATGTCTGACTAAACCCTAGATTTCAGTTCTGCATAGATTAGTACTTTTCATGTTAATCAATCATTAGACCTGGTTTTTGATTTTTGATTTTATCTGGATTTTTCAGTTTTTTTGTGTTTAATGAATGTTTGATTATAGTTCTTTTAATCTTGATCACCTAATTTAGGATTAAATCAATCTAGTTAATCAGTTAACGAAATATGTAATTGTTCCAATCAACTAGTAATAAGTAACAGGTATTAGATTAGTTCCATGTTGGAATATAACTCTGATACAAACTGAAATTTTATATTTTTATGCCTCAAAGCTTGTCAAAAGTATTCAATATTGCTGAGAACTTTACATATATAATAATATTGCTTTTCTGACTTAATTAAGAGCTTGTTTAATTAGGTTAGTAAAATGTTAGGATTAGTTGAAGAGCTTGTTTTGGTTAATTAATTAGGTAAAAGAAAACTTACTAGAGCTTGTTCGTAGTTTTTGTAACACCCGTTTTCTAAGATTGATCGATTTAGGGTGTTAAGGAGTCAAAAGTTTGATTTTGAATGAAAGTTAAGTGTCACGAATAGACCATAGGGTGGTCACAACGTGAAGTTACTATTCAACTGCGATTAGATGTGATCGATCGCAGCAGGTAGTAGCTGATTGAAGTTTGTTGCGAAAATGACTCTGGATGCGAACGAGAGAATGAATGCAAAAGAGACCGGATGCAAACGAGAGGCCGAATGTGAAAGAGACCGGATGCGAATGAGAGGCCGAATGTGAAAAAGACTGAATGCGAAAGAGGATAATTGGATGCGAATAGGAGTGATTGGATGCGAAAGAGGGTATCCAGATGCGAATGGGAGTAATTGGATGCGAAAGAGGGTATACAGATACAAATGAGGGTTTAGATGTGAACGAGGGTACATTGCGATTCTGATGCTAACACACGGTGATTGTTTCGGAACCTTCCCCACAATGTGACCATAGTGTGGTCACGACGTGGAGCCTGCTGCAGTTTTTAGGGTGTCCTTTGTATTGAAACCCCTCTAAGTCGATTCTATAGATCATTATCAACCTCCATAACCCTATTACCTCAGAAAAATCCTAACCTTAGTCCCTTAGTGATTCTTGGCTTTTTTAGAGCTTGTTTAAACCATTTTTGTGTGTTCTTGGTGCATATTGAAGAAAGAGAAGTTTATCATGTGGGTTGGTGTGGCTCAAGCTTGGAGATCCAAAGCATTCATCTCTTTTGCAAACTTCTGGAGGTATAAAGTTATCACCTTTATGGTTTTATATATGGTTGAGATCTAGGTTAGACTCATGGTTTGCAAGCTTTTGGTCCCATGGTTTTGGTTATTGTGAGTAAAAGCTACTACAGAGCTTAAGGTTGTCATTTTATGTTGCTTCTGAGGGTCATGTGGTATAAAAATGAAATCCGTGTTGCTATCTTTCACTCATGCAAGAGTTTGAGGTCTTTAAAGGGTGTTATGGACCTAAGGTTTGGCTTCTTGACCTTTTGGGTGGTCATAACAGATAAAGTTGGAAACTTTATCCTTCTAGACCATGTTGGACCAGATTTGAGCTTTCAAGCTCTTAGGGTTGAAGGAATCAACTTAACCAATTAAGCTATTTGGAAGCCAGCCCCCACGACGTGGCATCAGGTCGCCACATCATTGCAACTGGGAAGAGATCGATTGTTCCATCCTGATTCGGTGTCACGACGTGGCCAAGGATGGTCACGACGTGGCGATATGCTGAAGTGAGAAATTTGGTTGTTGACCTTGACCTGTGACTTTTGGCTATTGTTGACTTTTGGTCAACTCTTGATTTTAGAAGGGGAGCTAAGGGCTTATCTAGTATGATTGTATAGGTGGTGCGTAGAATTGGTACTTCTGGCAGTGAGATCAGTAGCGGTTGATTATCGTATGTGAGGTAAGTCTCTTCACTGTATTTGTTGGTCGAAAGCACCAATGTCGGCTTACTGGATTATGATATGTAGGAAGACATGTGGTGGCCCCTGGCAAATGCATGAAAGAGCTGGAGGTATCTCCCGACAAATTGTATGCATGACCAAGGTCTAGACCATGGTAGTTATATATAAGATGTGAGTTGTCTTTTTGATACTTGCATGGAATACCAGGAGGTAGCTCTTGACACTTGTTTGTAAGACCCGGGTTTTGGCCCCCAACTTGGCAGGGAAAGACCATGATACGACTCATGACATAATGAAAACTGTAAGACTATGGTTGGCACATAGCAATCTCTATTGTATGTATGGTATGTGGTATTTTTGGAGAACTCACTAAGCTTTGTGCTTACAGATTTATGTTTATGGTTTCAGGTACTTTCAGTTCTAAAGGGAAGGGCCCGACGTGATTGTACGACATCCCCCAGAAGTTTCCTCATTGGCTATTGTGATTCTTACTCTGATCTTTAAGTGATATGTTCACATTGATTGCCTTTGAAACAACTCGCTTGCATGGTTTATTGTTAAAAATGAAAATTTTACTATGAATTTTTCCAGACGTTACAGTTTTCAATACCAACTTAGATAAAACACATTTTGAATAATCAGGTTTATGTTGATTGCATGATTAGAAAGTCGCAGCAGAACCGAATCCATTTTTCTTACTTGATTTCATTTAGTTGTTTTTCACTGCAATATTTAGTTTTAATTAATAATCAAAATCCCCCTTTTTACATTTTCTGTTTTATGACTAGTATGTGCCTTACTCAAATAGGCATTGACTTTTAGGCCGTGTCCCTGTGGATTCGATCCTACTTCCCTATGTTATACATTAGTGCGTTTGAGCAGTGAAATTTTATTTGCTTAAGGCGTGCACGACACTTTGCGATTCAGGTGAGTTTCTCACTATTTTACCTATGTTACTATGACATGATTGTATGATAGACTAGTAGGTCTTGCTTGTTGTTTGTATGATTGCATGTTTGTTGGCTGAAATAGGTCGTGCGCTAAAACAGGTCGTAGGCTGAAACAGGTCATGGACTGAAAACAGGTTGTAGACTGAAATAGATTGTTAATGCTATGATTAGTTATCTGTGATGTATGTGATACTTTGGGAACTCATTAGGCTTTGTCTTACAATTGTGGATTAAATGTTTTAGATACTTCGTTTGATCGTGGGAATGCAAATACGTGACTATACACACTCTTTAGTAGCTTTCATGTTTAGTGATTTCACATTTATTATGTTCCACTCTGATTTTAAGATTTGAATTATTGAACATATGATTTTTTGGATATTATGTTTAATGAAATTGGGTTATTCCATCTCCTTAAAAATGAAAAAAACAATTGTGAAATCTGGGACATGACCAAAACTCTATTTCACTTTATTATTATTATTATATCTAGAGAAAATTACATAAATGGTCATTGTAGTTTCTCAAATTTATATGTTTCGTCCCTAACATTTTTTTCGTTACACGAATGGTCCTATGGTTTTCTTTTTTTACGTATAAAATGACTTTAAACCTTTTTTATTGTATTTTATATATTTTTCTTAAACTAACTTTAATTTAAAAAAATAAATAAACCACCACCCATTTCTCTCGGCGTCTTTCTCATTTTCTCTCCATATAAGCAGGGGCGGACGCAGGATTTTACAGTAGGGGTTGCACGGTAGTAGAAAAAATAAAATTTTCAAAAATTTTCGAAAAATTTTCCACTGCGGCCGGAAAAATTAGGGGTTGCCGGTGCCACCGTGGACCACCCCTAGGTCCTTCATTGATTTCTCTATCCTTCAATTTTGTCTCCCGATGCCCTTCTCTATCTTCTGGTTTCTTTAATGAGATCCGATTTTGAAGAATTGCTTTCTTCATATATGTACATAGTACATGGTCAAAAACGTGCAACATGCAACAGAGCAACAGAGCTAGTACCAAATCGTAGGGACTGGGTATACAATAAATTGAAACCACTGTGATAATCATTGTCAAGAAAGAAAAGGTTAAAGACTTAAATAGTAGTGACATTTTACAAAACACATGGACCATTTATATAATTTTGTCTTCATAAAATAAATAAATACATAAGAAAACTAAAAAAAACATTTATATTATTTAGGATAAATAAATTACAAACAAAACAAGATTATTAAAGAATGTATTTTTAATCCTTCTAAATCTAAAACATATACAAAATCCCATAAAGCAATTCATAAATCCAAACGCGTACAGTTTATTATAATTAGTTTAGTGTAGGTATTGACGGTTTTACATTTCCGCAAGACTTCTTCTTCTTCAGTTCTTATTTATTTATTTATTTTTCGCTACCATTTCTCGCCGTCTATCTTCCTTCGTCGTTGACACTCGCCGTTTACAGGCCGGCTCACCTCCGCTCGCGCTGTACTTTTCATCTATCATGCTTCGCGGTCGCCATTTATCTTATCAATCATAAAATCAGATAATAATCATTTGGTTGTTCATTAATAACAGGTGATTGTGATTTCAATTATTTCAATTACTTTTGTAGATTTTTGTATACAAGTTAGGGTTGTACAGAGTCCAACATGTACTTCCTTAATTCCTCTCTATTTTCCAATTCACAAATACAATTTTCTACTGAGTATTTTTGAATCTTAACAGTTAGCTAAAAACCCATAGATGAACAAGTTTTAATATGCTATTTTAATTGTGCAAACTTGTGTGCTGAACTTGCTGAAGCCAGATTGTAAGAACTTTTAGTGTTATATTCTATGAATCAGACTTTGTAATCAAAATCTTTGAAGAGGTGTGACTCGTTACTTTCATACTAACTTATTCATATCATTTGGATGGATAAATTCAAATTTGAAAAGTTTGTTCTTGCCAATATTACGGATCTATAAAAACCATGTCAAGAAACTTATATCTTTCTTGGGTTTGGATCTTTTAATTTTTTGTTCATATCTAGTGAAATTTGGGGATTGCCAATACGTTTTTGCAATTCCTTTCTTAGGATGTAATAGTGGATCCTATAGTTGTTTGTAGAATGGTATTTGGTGTTGATTTGTTTGAGGATTGTTTAACTTAACTTTAGATGGAAATTGTTTAGACAATATTAGGGATATCTGTAGTGGGTTAGTCAGATCAAAGTAAAGGTTTTGTAGGTTAATTAAATAAATTGGTTATTTCTGAAGGATATTGATTCACATGGAAAAGTCTGGAGGTGCATATGGTATTAATAATTTATTTATTTTTTTGTAGAGACACAATTGACGAAAGTGTGGGATTCAATAGCTAATTGAGATACACAAAGTCACGGGAAGAGTGAAGTGTTGTCAACCCATAACTCATAATGGTTGTTCTGTCTGAACTTTCTGAAGGGCCTTCATCTTCTTCATCAACTCATAAAGGTCATAGATATGACATATTTTTAAGTTTCAGAGGTGTTGACACTCGTCATGGTTTCACTAATCACCTTTATAATGCCCTCATTCATGCCAATATCACTACCTTCTTGGATGATGAAGAGATTGAAACCGGGGAAGATCTGAAACCAGAATTGGAGAGTGCGATTAAGTCATCTAGGGCTTCTGTTATCGTGTTGTCCAAAAATTATGCTACTTCCACTTGGTGTCTTGATGAACTGGTGTTGATCCTTGAGCAACGTATGAAATCCAGTCATGTTGTAGTCCCCATCTTTTATCATGTTGAGCCCACTGATGTCAGGAAGCAACAAAGTAGCTTTGGAGATGCAATGGCTAAACATAGACAGAGGATGGAGGCAGAGACAGATGCAAATAAAAGAAGTAAATTGGCTCAAAAGATGGAAAAATGGAATAAAGCACTTATAGAAGTTGCTGATTTAAAAGGGAAGGATGTTAAGGACAGGTAACCACTTTCTTACCCATATTTACATACTCGTTTAAGATTGTTTAATTAGTACATTCAAATTCAGCATAATCTTCTACTTATGCATTTCAATACGCCTCTTCATATTAATCAAATAAGCATATTTTTGATGCATTTAAATTTGGACAAAGATATGCTTGAAATTGAATCTAATTTTTGCAATTATGTGATCTCACAAATTAATTCATATTGGCCAGTTAAACCATCATGCTAACTTGAACACATTTGCTATGCATATTTTTTTATCTTATCACAAATTAGTTTATGTAGATAAATTATTTCTATGATTTTATATTCTTTTAATTAATAAACCAAATTTTGAACAGTCGTAATCCATGAACAATTTTTTATATCATTCTACCTTCAAACTATATCATCTTTTATTATGATATTCTAATGCTTTTACTTGTAAGTATTAAAGGTTAACTTATCACCGTTCACTAAAAAATTTGTTCATATTCATGCAAAACTATTGAGATTTATATGACCTTCCACATGGTTAGAAGTGCAAATACATTAATAGTTATGATACAAAAAAAATTAATTATATAATAGCTTATTATGATATAATGTTGATTTGGATCATTGAAAAACTTAAATCTCCAGTATTCCAGGCTAGAGATTTTTAGAAATTGGATGCAGTTACTAATTCATGATCTGGCATGTACAGAATGAAAACTTCAGTGGAGTTTTTTTAATTATATTTTCTTGTTCTTACTAAAATTAAATTCCAGGTGTAACATCCGGATTCTCAGGTATCTTAAATTATGTATTTTATTGAGTTTTGGAGAGAGACTCGGCGAGTAGGCGCTCAGACTCGCCGAGTAGAGTCGCGAATCTCCATCCGGGTTAATGACCGGACTCGGCGAGTCCATACGTGGACTTGGCGAGTCCACGCTGTTTAATGAAACCCTAATTTCTCGGGTTTGGGGACTATTTAAAGGCCCTTATGGCCGCCATTTGAGGTCACCAGTCATAGAGAGAAACCCTAGAGTGCTTGAGCGTTTTGGGAGAGGAAGGAAGCCATTTTTTTGACCTTGGGAGTGTTGTTTAGCAAGAAGAAGGAGGTACTAGCCAAGAGGAAGCATAGGAGATTGCTATTCTGTGGATTTGGAGCTAAGATCTTCACATTTGAGGTAGTAATTCGACTCCCCTTCTGTTCTTATGATGATCATATGGATTTAGGGTTTCTTAGACCCTTTGTTGCTTAGATTTGAAGCCCAAATAGTCCCTTATGATGAGGAGGCTTTGGATCTGGATCCATAGAGGTCCAGAGAGCCTTATTCATTAAGCTTTTTGAATAACAATGGAGGCTATGACCTTGAGTTATGGTATTTGGGGCTAAATCATCATATATGATCAAATAGATGTTGTATGTGCATCAAGATGGAAACTTTACGTGGTTATTGGGTTTGGGAATGATAGATCTATTGGTTAGAGGACTGGATCTGACCTCAGGAAGTTGTTTGAGGATGTGCATGGAATGAACTCGCCGAGTCCATGAACGGACTCGACGAGTAGAGTCGGGTAGCCCCGCGACTCGCAATCTGTGACGACTCGTGGAGCATAGGGTTGACTCAGTGAGTCGGAGGGAATTAGAGGACTAGAGTTCAAGGCGGAACTCGCCGAGTCCATGAACAGACTTGGCGAGTTGAGTCGGGGTGGCCCCGCGATTCATGCCAGGTGTCACCCGTCGAGTAAGGGGAAAGACTCGACGTGTCATGCGAGATCAGAAAGATAGTGGGCACGTGTAGACTCGCCGAGTCGCCCAAGTGCACTCGGCGAGTCGGGTCAAAGTTTGACCGTTGACCTTTATTGACTTTTAGGGTTTGGTCAACTTTAGGGTCTTTGAGCCATGAGAGGGGTAAAATGGTCTTTTACCCTTCTGAGAGTACTAAGAGGAGGAATAGTCTAGCCTTGAGAAATGTATTGATTCAGAGTGTTTATTTCATATGATTAGGCGGAGGCTAGACCCGACTTTACAGAGTTCGAGCTTTACCGAGTTAACCGAGGTGAGTCTTCTCACTATACTTTACCTAGAGTGGTAATTAGAGCTATGAGACAGAGTATTGTGTATGCTTTTGCATGATGTGATTTCTATGTGTTATATGCTATGTATGTTACAGAGTTTTCAGAGTTAGGACCGGAAGGTCCACAGAGTTAGGGTCAGAGGACCCATAGAGTTAGGGCCAGAGGGCCCACAGAGTTATGGGACTGGGGGGTCCCACAGAGACACTTTGACCAGAGTGTCAAACAGAGTTATAGCCTCGAGTGGCTAATATGTGTTATGTGTGGTATTTTGGGGAACTCACTAGGCATTTATGCTTACAGTGTTGTGTTATGTGTCTCAGGTACCAGCGAGGATCGCGGGAAGGCGCCGGCTTGATCAGTACACACGCGGGGAGATTTTATTATGATCTTGGGAGATGATGTTATGTGATACAATGGTGTTTTTATAACGATTATGAATGAAAACGTGTTTTATAAAATGTGAAAAATTGTTTTGAAAATTTGGGTGTTACAAGTTGGTATCAGAGCCTTGGTTTGAGGGATTCGGATTCATCTTCGGGCGTATCTGAACTCAAACTGAGGATTTGAGAGAAATTTTGATGACTAAAAACTTTTTTTAAAGAGTAAAAAGAGTTTTGAGACAAACAGAGCAGAGCCGTGTGTACGATCAGCCAGCGCCCGAACGGTGATTTCCCAAAATACCCTTGTAATTAGTGTTATGAGATATATTATGTTATGATATATGATGAGTTATGCTATGCATGCTAGAGTAGACTAGGTATTCTTATTAGGACTAGAGTGGCCTGATATGTGATGCCTTAGTCTAGGAGTTTTGCTGCTAGGGATACTTGAGAGTGTTTAGATAGCAGCGAGGAGTTTATGAGAGAGCTGCTAGTGAGTAGCATATGGTTAAAGAGAGTAGAGTACTTGGGACTTGGGATCCAAGGAGGAGGACTTAGAGTGGATGCTGATGCGGTGTGGACGGTAGTATAGGGCCCGTACTACTGAAGACACCGGAGCAGTGCGCACCCTAAGTAAGAATCCATTGGGTACTAAGGAGCAAGTAGGGTGGAGTTATCGAGTGCGAGTATACTCGAGCGAGTCCCTGATATTTATTATGTTGTATTTCAGAGACATCATGGTTGGGACACGCCACACACCAGAGAGCAGCGGTACTAGTGATGAGGAGATCCGTAGGATCATTCATGAGGAGGTGGCTGCGGCCATCAGGGCAGAGATACCAGAGATGTTCGGGTCTATCAAGACCACACTGATAGAGACATTTGACGAGAGATACGCTGCTCTTTCTGAGGCTGCGGTTGCTGCGGCCACTGCAGCTATAGCTGCGACTAGGCCGCAGGGTGGTGATGCGTTGCTGTTTCGTGAGTTCAGCAACACAAAACCACCGGAGTTTGATGGGACCCAGGACCCGATTGCAGCGATGAGGTGGATATCAGACATTGAGGGGTGTTTCTTTACTTGCTCATCTCCAGAGCATTTGAGAGTCCGGTTCGCGTTGAACCAGCTTCGCTTGGGAGCGAAGGACTGGTGGAAGTTTGTGACGGCGCACTATTCGCCTACTGAGCTTGTTGCAGTGACCTGGGAGAGGTTCACTGCTATGTTCCGAGAAGAGTACGTTCCCCAGGTGGAGAGGGAGCGTTTGGCCCAGGAGTTTTTGACCCTCAAGCAGGGTACAGAGTCTGTTACAGTGATCACCAGGATGTTCCATGAGCGGGCGATGTTCTGCCCAGAGCACGTGTCCTCCGAGCAGGCACGTATGAGCCGATATCTGAGCATTTTGAGGAGGGATATACGAGAGTTCGTGGCGAACTCGACGTACCGGACATTTGCCGAGCTTCAGGCAAATGCCCGGAAGAGGGAGATAGAGCTGGAGACTCAGGCTAGGGAGGAGGCGGAGTCTCAGGGGAGGGATCGGCGACCGGCACAGTCTCAGCCGGCAGCCAAGCGGGCCAAGCCTGCCGATTCGAGATCAGGGAGCCAGAGGGGCCGCACTTGTGGCAAGTGCGGCAAGAGTCATGATGGAGTGTGCAGAGCAGGGTCTTGCTACAAATGTGGCAAGGAGGGGCATATGGCCAAGGATTGCCCCAAGGGGTTTGCAGTCTGTTTTCACTGCAACCAGACCGGACACCGGAAGGCCGAGTGTCCACAGTTACGAGGGTCAGCTCAGGGAGCTTCTCAGGGATCTGCTCCTGCTGCTGTTCGAGCTACAGAGAGTCGGCCGGCGAAGGCTGAGGCACCGAAGGCTCGCGGGAGAGCCTTCCAGTTGACAACGGAGGAGGTCCGCGCAGCACCCGATGTGGTAGCTGGTATGTATTCTTTCCTCTGTTTATTTTGAGTTTGTAGTGTTATGCTTATATTGTGATATGCGTAGGTACATTTCTTGTGTGTTCTGTACCTGCCTTGGTGTTATTTGACTCGGGTGCGAGTCGGTCTTTTGTGTCACTAGCGTTTAGTCAGCACATCAGTACCCAGCGTGAGGCGTTGAGTCGACCTCTACGAGTTTCCATAGCTGACGAGCGAGCGGTGTATGCTACTGATGTGATTCGAGGATGTGTACTCGAGATCTTCGGTGTCGAGTTTCCGATAGATCTGGTCCCGATTGCTATGGGGGACGTATGTGTCATAGTGGGCATGGATTGGTTGAGCCGTTTCGGAGCTGTGATTGACTGTGAGCGACAGTTGATGACGATACGAGACCCCAGTGGGGGAGTACTTACGGTGTACGGCGAGGGTTCCCGTTCTGGGTCAGCATTTTGTTCGGCCGCTAGAGCGAGGCAGAGTTTACAGCAGGGCTGTAGTGGGTTTGTGGCTTATGTGGTGGATACGAGAGTAGATGCAGAGAGACCGAGGTCGATCGATGAGGTCCCGATAGTGCGCGAGTTCCCAGATGTTTTCCCCGAGGAGTTGCCGGGTGTGCCTCCCGAGAGGCAGGTAGAGTTCCGTATTGATTTGGTTCCGGGGGCAGCGCCTATCGCCAAGGCGCCCTATCGCCTTGCGCCACCAGAGATGCAGGAGTTATCCTCGCAGCTTCAGGAGCTGCTGGGGAAGGGGTTTATACGGCCGAGTAGCTCGCCGTGGGGAGCGCCGATCCTTTTTGTCAAGAAAAAGGATGGTTCACACCGGATGTGCATTGATTACCGGGAGCTGAACAAACTGACGGTCAAGAACCGTTACCCCTTACCGAGGATCGACGATTTATTCGATCAGTTGCATGGAGCGTCTTGGTTTTCCAAGATCGACTTGAGGTCTGGATATCATCAGATGAGAGTACGAGATGAGGATATCCAGAAGACAGCGTTCAGGACTCGTTACGGGCATTACGAGTTCGTGGTGATGCCTTTCGGGCTCACCAATGCACCGGCGGCGTTCATGGATCTCATGAACAGAGTATGCAGACCGATGTTGGACCGTTCGGTGATCGTGTTCATCGATGATATACTGGTGTATTCGAGATCCAGAGAGCAGCATGAGGAGCATTTGAGAGAGTTACTTGGAGTTTTGAGATCGGAGAGGCTTTATGCCAAATTCTCCAAGTGTGATTTCTGGTTACGAGAGGTCCAGTTCCTAGGGCACCTCGTTAACCAGAATGGGATATTGGTCGACCCGGCCAAGATTGAGGCGGTTATGAGTTGGGAGGTGCCGAGATCCCCCACCGAGATCAGGAGTTTCTTAGGGTTGGCTGGCTATTATCGGAGATTTATCAGGGATTTCTCCAAGATCGCCGTGCCACTCACCAGGTTGACCCGAAGGGTGTTGCTTTTTCATGGGGACCAGAGCAGCAGGCCTCCTTCGAGACACTTCGCCAGAGACTGTGCGAAGCCCCAGTGTTAGCCCTTCCGGAGGGGATGGAGGACTTTGTGGTGTATTGTGACGCATCGATATCGGGGCTGGGAGCGGTGCTGATGCAGAGAGGGCATGTGATAGCATACGCATCGAGGCAGCTGAAGCCTCACGAGACGAGGTATCCCACCCACGATCTGGAGTTGGGGGCTGTAGTGTTCGCCCTCAAGATCTGGCGTCACTATCTGTATGGGGTTCGGTGTACCATATACACGGACCACAAGAGCTTGAAGTACTTGATGGATCAACCCAACCTGAATATGCGCCAGAGGAGATGGTTGGACGTGGTAAAGGATTACGATTGTGAGATCCTGTACCACCCGGGCAAGGCTAACGTTGTAGCCGATGCCCTGAGTCGTAGGGCGGAGAGCGCCCCGATACGGGACGTTTGTATGAGATTGACAGTGATGACTCCGGTGTTGGACACCATCCGAGGGGCCCAGGCTGAGGCCGTGAGACCGGAGAACCGCAAGAGAGAGCGGGTTATCGGATATGTATCGGAGTTTGTTACCGATAGCAGAGGGCTTATGACCTTCCAGGGTCGGATCTGGGTGCCATTTGTGGGCGGGGCACGTACCATATTGATGGAGGAGGCACACCGATCGAGGTTTTCGATCCATCCCGGGGCCACTAAGATGTATTTGGACCTGAGAAGAGATTATTGGTGGCCCTGTATGAAGAGGGATGTAGCATGGGTTGTTGAGAGGTGCTTGACCTGTCGCAGGGTTAAGGCCGAGCACCAGAGGCCGCATGGTAAGTTGCAGCCGTTGGAGGTTCCCGAGTGGAAGTGGGAACAGATTACCATGGATTTTATCACCAAATTGCCAAGGACTGCGAGGGGCGTCGATGCAATTTGGGTGATTGTGGACAGGTTGACGAAGAGCGCTCACTTCCTTGCTATCAGTGAGAGCTCCTCCGCTGAGAGGTTGGCAGAGTTGTACGTGAGGGAGGTGGTATCACGGCATGGAGTGCCGATCTCGATCGTCTCAGATCGAGATGTGCGTTTCACTTCCAGATTCTGGAAGAAGTTTCATGAGGAGTTGGGTACGAGGCTACATTTTAGTACCGCATACCACCCCCAGACAGATGGGCAGAGTGAGCGGACGATTCAGACGCTCGAGGACATGCTTCGGGCATGTGTGTTGGATTTCGGAGGGAGTTGGGACACATACTTGCCCTTGGCTGAGTTTTCCTATAACAACAGCCATCATTCGAGCATCGGTATGCCACCCTTTGAGCTGTTGTATGGGAGGAGGTGTCGGACTCCTATTTGCTGGGGTGAGGTCGGGCAGCGTGTGATGGGTAGTACAGAGATAGTACTTCAGACGACTGAGCAGATTCAGCAGGTCAGACAGAGGTTGTTGACCGCTCAGAGCCGCCAGAAGAGTTATGCGGACAGACGTCGCTCGGGGCTTGAGTTCCAGGTTGGTGATTTAGTACTCCTGAAGGTATCTCCTTGGAAGGGGGTGATCCGATTCAGGAAGAGGGGTAAGTTGGGACCTCGGTATATTGGTCCTTTCAGGGTGACTGCCAGGGTGGGCAGGGTAGCGTATCGTTTGGAGCTACCTACGGAGTTGAGCCAGATTCACGATACCTTCCACGTGTCTCAGTTGAGGAAGTGTATCGCTGATGAGTCGGCAGTGGTTCCGTTAGAGGACATTCAGGTGGATGCGAGCCTGAATTATGTTGAGAGACCGGTTGCGATTGTGGATCGAAGGATCAAGACTTTGAGAAACAAGGAGGTGCCATTGGTTCAAGTCCAGTGGCAACATCGGAAGGGTTCTGAAATGACCTGGGAGCCGGAGTTAGAGATGCGCGAGCAGTATCCAGAGTTATTTGTTGAGTGAGACTTCGAGGGCGAAGTCTGATTCTAGTGGGGGAGAATTGTAACATCCGGATTCCCAGGTATCTTAAATTATGTATTTTATTGAGTTTTGGAGAGAGACTCGGCGAGTAGGCGCTCAGACTCGCCGAGTAGAGTCGCGAATCTCCATCCGGGTTAATGACTGGACTCGGCGAGTCCATACGTGGACTCGGCGAGTCCACGCTGTTTAATGAAACCCTAATTTCTCGGGTTTGGGGACTATTTAAAGGCCCTTATGGCCGCCATTTGAGGTCACCAGTCATAGAGAGAAACCCTAGAGTGCTTGAGCGTTTTGGGAGAGGAAGGAAGCCATTTTTTGACCTTGGGAGTGTTGTTTAGCAAGAAGAAGGAGGTACTAGCCAAGAGGAAGCATAGGAGATTGCTATTCTGTGGATTTGGAGCTAAGATCTTCACATTTGAGGTAGTAATTCGACTCCCCTTCTGTTCTTATGATGATCATATGGATTTAGGGTTTCTTAGACCCTTTGTTGCTTAGATTTGAAGCCCAAATAGTCCCTTATGATGAGGAGGCTTTGGATCTGGATCCATAGAGGTCCAGAGAGCCTTATTCATTAAGCTTTTTGAATAACAATGGAGGCTATGACCTTGAGTTATGGTATTTGGGGCTAAATCATCATATATGATCAAATAGATGTTGTATGCGCATCAAGATGGAAACTTTACGTGGTTATTGGGTTTGGGAATGATAGATCTATTGGTTAGAGGACTGGATCTGACCTCAGGAAGTTGTTTGAGGATGTGCATGGAATGAACTCGCCGAGTCCATGAACGGACTCGACGAGTAGAGTCGGGTAGCCCCGCGACTCGCAATCTGTGACGACTCGTGGAGCATAGGGTTGACTCAGTGAGTCGGAGGGAATTAGAGGACTGGAGTTCAAGGCGGAACTCGCCGAGTCCATGAACAGACTCGGCGAGTTGAGTCGGGGTGGCCCCGCGATTCATGCCAGGAGTCACCCGTCGAGTAAGGGGAAAGACTCGACGTGTCATGCGAGATCAGAAAGATAGTGGGCACGTGTAGACTCGCCGAGTCGCCCAAGTGCACTCGGCGAGTCGGGTCAAAGTTTGACCGTTGACCTTTATTGACTTTTAGGGTTTGGTCAACTTTAGGGTCTTTGAGCCATGAGAGGGGTAAAATGGTCTTTTACCCTTCTGAGAGTACTAAGAGGAGGAATAGTCTAGCCTTGAGAAATGTATTGATTCAGAGTGTTTATTTCATATGATTAGGCGGAGGCTAGACCCGACTTTACAGAGTTCGAGCTTTACCGAGTTAACCGAGGTGAGTCTTCTCACTATACTTTACCTAGAGTGGTAATTAGAGCTATGAGACAGAGTATTGTGTATGCTTTTGCATGATGTGATTTCTATGTGTTATATGCTATGTATGTTACAGAGTTTTCAGAGTTAGGACCGGAAGGTCCACAGAGTTAGGGTCAGAGGACCCATAGAGTTAGGGCCAGAGGGCCCACAGAGTTATGGGACTGGGGGGTCCCACAGAGACAGTTTGACCAGAGTGTCAAACAGAGTTATAGCCTCGAGTGGCTAATATGTGTTATGTGTGGTATTTTGGGGAACTCACTAGGCATTTATGCTTACAGTGTTGTGTTATGTGTCTCAGGTACCAGCGAGGATCGCGGGAAGGCGCCGGCTTGATCAGTACACACGCGGGGAGATTTTATTATGATCTTGGGAGATGATGTTATGTGATACAATGGTGTTTTTATAACGATTATGAATGAAAACGTGTTTTATAAAATGTGAAAAATTGTTTTGAAAATTTGGGTGTTACACCAGGCTAGAGGTGGAGTTTATTGATGAAATTGTCAAAGACATCTTCCGTAGATTACACATATCCTCAAGGTTTCCACTACCACAACTTATTGGGATGGAAGATTCCATTTAAGTCGTCATTTCATGGTTGAAAGATGCATCATCACATACGACAGATATACTCACTATTTTGGGTATGGGTGGAATCGGGAAGACATCTTTAGCCAAATATGTCTATGCGTTACATTCTCATGAATTTGACACAAGCAGCTTCGTTGAAGATATCAATAGGAAATTTGATGAGAAATCAAATGGGATGCTTGATGTACAAAAACAACTCTATAATGACATTTCAAAACCAAGTTCAGTTCAAGTTCTTGATGATTCTATATACACCTCAATGATAGAGAATGCAGTAGCCCGTAAAAAGGTGTTTCTAGTTCTTGATGATATTAGTAGTATCGATCAGCTAGATGCGTTACTTGGAAGCAAAGGTTTTCACCCAGGAAGCACAATTTTAATAACAACAAAGGACGCATGGTTGACACAGAGTAGTTCACCATTCAAAACGAACATTAAACCCAAGTATGCAGAGCACAAGGTTAAAGGCTTATCTACGATTGACTCACAAAAACTTTTGTGTTATCATGCATTCATGTGCAACGATCCCAAGGCAGGTTATGAAGAGGTGTCAGGAAAGCTAGTGAAGTATTGTGAAGGACATCCAATGGCGCTTAAAGTTTTGGGTAGGTCCCTGCATAATCGAGATGTAACTTATTGGGAGGGGTACATAGACCGACTAAAGAAAGAAAATCATTCCCCTATAAATACGATCTTGAGAATGAGTTTTGACTCTTTGCCATCAGAAAATGACAAGGAGTTGTTTAAGCATATTGCTTGTATCTTTGTTGGAATGGATAGATATGTTACTATAACAATATTAGAGGCATGTGATATAGAGACAAGATCAGGGATCACGAATCTTATTGACAGAGGTCTTCTTAGTATCAGATGGAATAAAGAATTGGCGATGCATCAGTTGGTTCAAGAGATGGGAAGATTTGTGGTACGTGAAGAATCACTTTACAATCCATGGGAACGCAGTCGAATATGGGGTCATGAGTCATTCAGAGTGTTGAAACAAAAAAAGGTAACATGCTTGTTTAAATCATTTTGTATTTCTATACACATGTTTAACATTTTAAAATAATTTTGTATCCCTTTCTTCTTAGAGTATGGAAAACGCTCTAGGCCTCACCCTTGACATGAGAATGCTTGAGAAAAAGAAATTGCATGGATCACTTGAGTTGAAAACAGACGCATTGAGTAAGATGGATAGGCTAATGCTTCTACAACTCAATTATGTTCAAATAACAGGCTCTTACAAGAATTTTCCTGAAGAATTAAGATGGTTGTGTATGCATGGGTTTCCTTTGAAGTCTATACCTTTAGACTTACCGGTGGAGAATCTGGTTGCTCTTGACATGTCATATAGCAATATTGAATCATTTGGGATTTTTTATAGCTATCCACAACGACTTCATAAGAGGCTAAAGGTAAATTATCTCTATGTATTACTAGATCTTCTATGTCGAGTTGATAAAATTCATTAGTATTGTAACTTATCTTTTTTTCAGCAATTGATTGGATCGTGCTCAAAAGACAAAAGGTTGCTTGGATCGTTGAAGATTCTTAGTTTAAGTTTTTGTGAACAGCTTCGTAGTCTTGGTGGCTTTGACCACCTCCCCAAACTTGAGAGGTTGATACTTAAAGGTTGCATTGGTTTGCTTGAGGTTTGTGAATCAATTGAGCAATGCCCTGAACTTGTCCACATTGATCTGAGCTACTGCAAGAAGCTTGAAAAACTTCCAAGAAGCTTAGGCATGTTAAAGAAAGTTAGAACACTATTGCTAAATGGTTGTTATTTCGGTGAATCTCAAATCAAGATTAGAGACATGGATTCATTGGAAATGCTCAAGGCGAACAACGTTGGCATAAATTCCATAACCTCTTCCTCCACCTTTTTCAAGGCTATACCACGTGATCCTAAGCTATTTTCGATTTTTTTACCGAGATCTTTAGTATGCTTGTCACTTGCAAATAATAATTTGTCCACCGAATCCTTTACCATTGACTTCAGTTCCCTATACTTGTTAAAGCTTTTGGTTTTGGATGGTAATCCTATAGTTTCCTTACCCGATTGTGTTAGAAGCCTTCCTAGGCTTGAGACACTTAGTATGGTAAATTGTACAATGCTGGCATCACTTGAGTATCCTCCACATACACTAAAATATATGAACCTCAATCATATTTCTGATTATAAGACTTTGCTACGACAAGTTGTATTCGATCCACGAATGTCTCCACTCGAGTTCTTCATGAACTGGAAGATACCTTCGTCGTTTGAATTTGAAGGCGTTGTTAAAATCCAACCAATGGCAGGTGTGGAGGAAAAGGTATTACATTGTTTAGGCTGGACTAAGCTAGACTTCATTAAAGGAAGGCACGTGATAACTTCTGTTAGTTATAGAGAACTAGAGGAATCTGAAATCCAGGTTTGGTCTAGTTAACCATATGTCTTTGTGTGAATATGTATGTATATATATAATTAATGAAGGTGGTTGTATTTTGGCAGATGTATTATGAATTTGGAATATTCAGCACAATTTATGAAGGCGAAGAGATGCCGAATTGGATTTCAGATAGAAGCATGGGGCCATCAATATCATTTACCATCCCATCATCTCTAAACAAGCTCAGAGGATTGAATTTCTGTTTTGTGCTGACACCCCATTATCAATATCGTATCCGTGAGGTTCCAGTGATGAAAATTAGTAATATAACAAAGAACCTCACCTGGATATACCAACATTACATTGAGATAGTCAATATGGGTAGAAAGTGTTTGATGTTGTTAAGCCATTGGATGTTTGGTATGAATGAAATGGATGCTGGTGACCACGTTACTATTACTGTGAGGTTGGCACAAAGTGATGCAGTTACTAAGGAGTGTGGGGTGAGTTTTATGTATGATGAAGAAGAAGAAGAAGAAGAAGAAGAAGAAGAAGAAGAAGAAGAAGAAGAAGAAGAAGAAGAAGAAGAAGATGTGTTGGGTTATTACAAGTCATGGAATCACATCATTGGTGGAGATCTTACCGCATTTCAGTTAACAACTGGGGAATACCTCCTAAGCAAACATCGATTTATGTCGCCTAATCTTGATATACCTTTTCCAAGCTATATTTATCTGTGTGGAGAAGGAGCATGCTTGAAAGGTAGATGTCATTCTTATGTTAATACCTTTTATAGTATTTTAATTCATATTTTGATTTTCTGCAATCATGTCAGATCTTTAATCTATTTTTTTTTTTTAAATTAGATGTGCTATTCTACTTCAAGGCTTTGTCCCAAAGGAAGTCTAGCATACCGGAGGATGTCCCCTAAGGTACTACCCTTTTCTCATAACATATATAAACAAACACATAAACCAACTATCTGAGACAGCTGTTGATGGATTTGAAGAAATGAATACAATGTTTGTTCTTGGTCAAGTTTTATTGGGCTATTTGTGTTGGCTGTATTAACGCATCACCCCGGTTTTTATTACATTCCTCTCCTTTCATATGATACAAATAAAATTGACCCATCTACCCTCCACTGTCTCAGATCTGTGTTTTGACAAGGTGGCACTGATTATGTGAATGAGATTTCGTTCACTCCATGGAAACTCTCAACAAACTACTCTCAAAATTCTTTTGCTCCGGTGACAAGGTCTGAATCGGCTCTGTTAGGTGCATTTAATAAAACGTGTCACGGCACATAGAATAGTTTAGTGGATTGGGATTGATTTGTTGAGTCGTTAATGGATGTAAAAAAATCAGGTTTGAATGAGTTGTATATGTGCAAGCGAGATGTTAGTTTTTTAATGGGTAGTTTGATTGATTTTCGTGTTAATAAGAATAGTTTAGTGGGACACTACCGATAAACCTTCGGGCGCTGTTGAATGAGAACGACGTTTTTGTAGTTTTGTTTTGTTTTGTTTTTCTTGTATAACACAATGACGACATGGGCTGAAACTAAAATACGTATAATCTAGGCTGAAATCCGTATATTCTTTTAGCCCAATTATGTTTTTCATGTTTATCACTTTTTTGGCCCCTCATTGGCCATAACCCAACGATTCATCACTCATGTTAATTGCAAATTTGTTTTACTTACGTGACTAAATAACCAATAACATAATAAGTAATTGAAAATCAACGAGTGATAAGTTGAGTGGGTTGTTAATTTTGCAAAATTATCATTGATCGGATTTCTTTTAAATGATGGTTAATTTGGATAACCTTTTTGGGAATTATAATTTTTATAACTCTTTATTGATCAAGAATTAATATGGATTAATAAAGTTAAGGAGTAATTCGGCTAATAATAGTACCGTAATAAATTCAGATTTTATACACAAATGTTAAGGGGCCATTAGTTTTTTCTATTTGTATCCTATTTGAATAGATGGCCCAGCCGAAAATTACTTAAATTGGATATAGTTTAAATAAATATTATTTTGTGTTAACATGTGTGTTACAACTCGACAGACAAACGCAAAGGAAATTCGTTTTGTGACGGAGCTTTTGTATTGGGTTGGTATGGTTAGCATGGTCGCTGTAGAAAGAAATCGTTTTGACTACCATTTAAATGCTTTAGAATTACCGTAATAATGTGGTGTTCCAATCGTTTAAATTAAAGAGAAGTCGTATTTTTGAAAAGATTTTTATTCATTCTATTTGATTGCTTTTCTAATAAAAATGTTAGACATACGAGTAATTAGACAATACGGTTACAAAACCCTTTGACCTGTAATGCTTTTTAATTTTTTTTTTTCATTCTAGCTCCTTGCTAGTTGTTTTTCAATAAAGATTAAGTCTTTCAAAAAAAGGTTGTTTTGTGACACACATCACATAACTTTACTTGTTTAACATGAATTTTATATTTCTATCTAAATGTGATCTATGACATTTATGTGACATTTTTATTATTTACGAATGTTTGAAACGCTTCAGTGTTGGTCACAGCCAACACAAAGCCAGCATTCAAGTAAAACTTTAGTTTATTCTAATACTAGGTGTAAGACTCATGTATTACATTGATTAACTAAAAAAATAAATATAAAGGTCTAAATATTTAAGAACTTTGGATTTATAAGAAAATAAGAAAAATAATAAATTATTAAAATTGAATTTTCTTTTAAATTTAAATAAATAAACAAAATAAACTAATGAGTTTTAATTTGGAAATAAGAAGATAAATCCATTAATGAAATTGATATTTATTTATTACTACATTTATTGTAATTATTACATTAAAATATTATATGAAATTTATTAAAATAGAAAAACTCATAAAATGACATGTGGAAAAAGAAATTAATTCAAAATAACCACAAAATGACATTTGACAAATTGAATAAGAGTGTGACATGTGATAAAAAAACTTTCATTTATTAGAGTAGATTTTGGTTTTATAGTAAAGTGAATCCTCAACATGCTATTTTTTTTCTTTCTTTATGTGATTACCAGTATCTTTTAGCTTATTTATGTTCTTCTAAATATAAATGCCATAATCCTCAACATACTAGTGTTAGATTAGGTGTCTAAGCCCATAATTATATATGGTATGTACTTGACCTGATTGTAGCATAGTCTTTTTGGGTTGCCTTCACCAAAACAACTTGACTGGATGAATAATGGAGAAAGAGGATAAATGTGGTTTATTAATATATTATGTGAATAATATATTAAAATAGAAATGATATTGTTTAATTAATATTGGTCAAGAATTAATTTAGAATTAATTTTGTGGTCAAAAGAGATTAATTGAACTAAGGGGACTAGAATTGTAATTATGTGATAATTGCAATAATGAGCTGAGAACCTCTTGGATAAGAGGTGGACGATTTTATATGGAAGCCCATTTAGAAATCGTCCAAGGGCTTGGTTCTGGAAGGATCTAATGAGTTGTTTAGAGCCTAAGCAACCTGATTAGGTTTTTGACCAAAACTCTAATTCCTCACCTATATAAAGACCCCTTGGCATAAGGTTTTCGGCTACAAGAACCCTAGAAGGATCCCTAGAGCCGAAATCATTATCCTCCTCTATCTCTAATATTCTCCAATTGCTTCTTGGTGTTTGTGATCGATTAGAGGTATCACACTTGTGATACTAAGCTCTCAAGGCAAGGATCTTCAAGCTTCAATTGAAAGGTAACATTCTAACTTGTTTATTAGATGTAATTTCGATTTTGGTATGCTAGATTTAGGGTTTGCAAGCTTTGGATGATTTCCATGTATAATTAGTGAAACCTAGATCCAAAGTTTTAGGGTTTGCATGTGCACCATAGGATTGATGTAATGCTCAAAACCCAACAGTGGTATCAGAGCCTAGGCTGTTTTCTATTGTATTTGATGCCTTGTGTAATCGTTCATGGCTTGAAAAGTTGTAACACCGAAAATTTCCAAAACAATATTTTCATTTAAAATCACATAATTCTCATAATGCATTTCACAAAAATCTCATTTATTAAGTTTACAATTCAAAACTCCATAATTGTTTGGTTAAAGTCCAGGATCCTCAAAGCATAACTCTTTCACTGGTGTGTACAATCAAGCCGGTGCCTTCTCGCGATCCTGAGAACAACCTGAAACATATAACACATAACATGGTAAGCACGAAGCTTAGTGAGTTCCCCAAAATACCACACGCACACAGTTCATTAGCCACTCGAGGCTATATCACTGTAAGACCCTCCGGTCAATGTGTCTCAAGTGGGACCCTACGGTCCCATACTCGGGTGGACCCTTCGGTGCTAACTCTGTAAGCTCAACATAAAATACAACATAAATCACAAAGACATAATGCAGGATATCACAACACTCAATATAAGCACATAAGATACTCTGGTCACACATAGGTTACTACTCATAGTATAGTGAGAAGACTCACCTCGAAGCAAGCAAGCAGTTATCCTCATACTTGAATCTCGAACTAGCCTCCGCCTAACACATAGGGTAAATATCTCTAATCAATACTCGAATTCTCAACTCTAAGTAAACCAAAAGCTACTCTTTCTCCCTCTACTCGGGAAGTGGGTAAAACACTATTTTACCCCTCCATGATCTCCATTACTCACGATTGGCTCAACCCTAAAGTCAACAGAAGTTGAACTCGAGTCAACAGTCATTGTTTGACCCGACTCGTCGAGTGCACTCATGCAACTCGTCGAGTCCACTCACATCCTCAGAAGTCTTAAAAGGTCCAGCTCAATTCGTCGAGTTGACCCCCAACTCGCCGGGTTATCGCACAATCAAACCCATCGGGACAAACCCTCACCGACTTGTCGAGTCAGGCCATGGACTCGGCGAGTCCCTTTAATCAGATTCCTCATACAGACGATTTAAGGCAAATCTATCACTCCAAACACTAGATCTACCATCCTAAGGGTCGATTGTCACGTAAAGCTGCAAGCTTTATGTTCAAACATGGCATATAAGGCTCATAATGCCAATATAACTCTAACAAGGATGATTAACCACAATAACTCTTATATGGCTAAATAAAGCTATAATCTTTGGACTCTCTGGACCTCACAAAGTCCAGATCTGAAGTCTAGGCCTTCTAATAGACTCCATGCACTTATTTTCTCCACAAAAGATAGAAAAATCCCTAACTTCCAAAATCATGAGATCCAACTAATAAGATGAGAAAGGTGTAGGCTTTATACCTTCTATAGAAGCTCCATGTGAAGAAATGCAAGATCATACAGCCTCTTCTCGTTCCTTGCTTGTTGCTCACTCCTTTCCTTCCAAAGATTCACCAAAAACACTTGATATTAGCTCAAGATCTCTCTCTCTTATCTTCAATGGCTGCTAAAGGTTTCACACAGGAGAGGTGAGCAGCTGATTAGGCGCATTTGAGGTTATAAGTCCCCTTAAATAGGTCTCAACCCGGGGATTTAGGGTTTCACTACACAACACCTACTCGGCGAGTTGGCACACTGACTCGTCGAGTCTGTTCATTAAACTCATGCGGATAACTCGACCCTACTCGACGAGTTGGACTCACAACTCGTCGAGTAGCTCCATAAATCTCAGAATTTACTCTTACAATGATATACCTGAAAATCCGGATGTTACAATTCTCCCGCACTTGAATTAGATTTCGCCCTCGAAATCGCTCCCCCCCCCCACAACACATAGATCGAACCCAAAAACTCGAAAGGATCTCATACCACATGCCTATCCTCCTCTAAAGGCACCTGAAACCAAACAGAAACTCCCGAACCCGGAAAAGGACAGACCCTCCTGCTGCTACGTTATCCCTGCTGACTCTTCAACATTTGGAAACTCTAGTGGTCTGTCTCTCTGCCATACCGCCCTCACAAGATATCACCATGCTAATTATTCTTCGAATAACAGACCCAGATAAATCACTGCCCCACTGATTCTCTTGCTGCGACTGATAGAATCGAGTTATTTACCAAAAATTGGCCACCGATCATTCATACCAAATATACTAATCGATCCAGATCATATTCTAAAGGAATGAAAGGGTTCACATCCCACCAGGGACTCATCCACTGTACTGCTATCAGAACCCACCTGAACAATGAACTCTCAACACCATGTCCTTAGGCACAAGGAAATGATCATGCTCGCTCAGAAGTGTCATCTGACATCTAAAATTATAAGCCCCGGCGTCCTCTCCACTATTCATTCAACACTTGAGCACCAGGTCAACTCCTGACCCAACAGTTAAACCTCCAAAGGTTACCCATAGCATGTCCCAAAACGTCTCACTGACTTCCTTCTCACAACAACTATCTCGGCCCATTGTGACGCACAAGTCACGAAGTTCACTTTACCCCAAACGGATACCACAATCCCAACTGAATTCATCTCAACCTCAACCTCTGTTGTTTACTACTCACTAGTTCCATGCGTCTTTCGGTCCTTCCAATACCCACGGACTGACCCACTCAGGTCTGAGACGTCGGATGACAAACAACACCCCTCAAAATTAGACCCATCTCTGAATCCGGGATCTCC